CTAATCATTTTTCCTCAGACATCTCCCAGAACCAAGGCATGTTTTCAGTCTTTCTCATGTTCCTGCACCAATACCTGCAGGGTATTAACCCTCTTCCAGGGGTTATGTGTATATACCAGTGATACCTCAGTGAAGGCACCATTCGGCACCTGTACACCAAAATTCAAGAAAGTAAATTAATTGAACAAACAGAGAAGATGGTTTAACTTCTGCAGGATGTTGTAAAATAAGATTCAGCTCTGATGACTCTTGAAAGACAATGTTTCCATATTAGTTCATTGTGCAAGTATTGAAGGATATGAAACATATCAAGGCCTTAAATCTGCACTTGTCCTACACTCCTGTGAAGAGCTATTGATCTCAGTTGTTGGTCTGTGAGCAGCAACTTTCTGGGCAAGTCCAGGTTTGCATTGCTCATAAAGTGAAGGCATAAGAGAATGTTTTATGCAAGCAAAGAAATCATTCCCTTGATAAGATGTTGCAGACTATCATTTGGTTTTTAATTTAACTAATTCATTGGTTTGATCAGCTCTGACAATAGCTATCCTTCTTTCTCTGAGTTTTTAAAGTAACTTGTCAAGTTACTCTACCAAATGAACATAATGAAAGTAAGTCATATCTTGTACCTCATAAAGCTGTATTGAATGGATTGGCTATAAAATGCATTTATAAAATCCAGTATCATCCCTAATAGTTTCTTCATTGCTAAATGTAACATTGTGTTGTTTGAGGGGGGAACATACCTCCATCATGCATAGAAAAAGTGCCTTAATAACTGCATGAGAAAACTACATAGAATTGACTTAACTAGAGAGAGTAGACAGCAAATGCAAGAAAGATGCATTCAGGTTGCCAACTAGAAGAGCTTTATGCACAGGAGAAACTTTGAAAAGAGACCTCTTAAACTGCCGCAGTGTTCTTTAAGCAATCTTAGAAGTACAAAAAGGTTAGCCAAAATCTGTTTTTTGGGTTTTTTGGGTTGTTTTTGTTGGTTTTCTGGGTGGTGTTGAGGTATTTTAATTTTGTTAACAGAAAGTACAAGCATGAAATTGGTTCTCTAAAAGTTAACATGATAAAAAGCAAATACAGAACTCTTCAACTTAATCTGTCATGTGTGCAAGCTCTGCTTTTGGGGGGATGGGGGGTGGGGTTACTTGCCTCCAGGACATTAACTCTTCCTCTACTGAAAGCAGACTTCCTCTACTGAAAGGAAGGCTTGCTTTTTTTAGTTTTAATTTTTTATAAATTTAAATTGGACTGTAAATCCACATTTTTCACATGAGATTTATAGCTCATGAGAAATGTGCAACAAAGCTCATGTATTGACAGCTTGTATTATTTTTGATAATCACATTGAACCTCCAACGTAACAGGTCTGAAATTTTTCGTCACAGTTGGGTCCTTAGAATTCAAGCTAAGGAGGAGGTGGAATTGCCTTTTGATACATAAAGCTGAGCTGGAAGTGATTAACCGAGTAGCTCATTATTTTCCTGAAATAAGAGGGAGCCGTTTAGTGGTTGTAATACAAGGTTTTTTGCCCCTTGGTCTTCTAGCTTGATCTGCAGTGTCAGCATTCACCACAATGGAAATCACTAAAAGCAACCTTTAGTACATGAAAGGATTTTTTTTTTTTTTTTTTTTTTTATGGGGTGTTTCGCCGCACTTCTGTTATTTTATTTTTAACATCTCATTATGCATGAGACCTTTTTTTCCTTTAAATAATAATAATTAAAAAAAAGTTGCAGGAGGCTAAACACTAAAACTCTTCCTTTTTGCTTTTTAACTGCAGTTTAAGCTATGCAATGTAACATGATCATTAGAAGCCAGCAGCATTTTTTGCTTCTGCTTAAATGTATATTTAATACTGTCTTTTGTCAAAAATCCCATCCATCCTTTTACCCACAGCAGGATCAACTATACTTACATCATTAGCTGACAGATGCCAACCTATTTTGGGAGGCTTCCCAGGCAATCTATTCCTGTGCCTTGCTACACTTACCACTAGAAAGTTTTTCCCTGATGTCTATGCCAAATCTCTTGTGTTGCAAGTTGGGTCTATTAGTATTCAATTTTACTTTTTTTTCTCCCCCTCCACTCCCCTTTTCTAACACTACCTAAAAATGTACACAGAATGAATCTTCAAAAAAATGTCATTTTCTTGCAGGTTTTGCTCCTGTTTATACAGTGCAATATGCTAAAGATTTTTTTTTTTTTTTTTTTTTTTTACAGCAGGTTGCTCCCCACCCCTATTGTACAGATGTTCTGGAAGAAACACTTGGTCGTCTTACATTTTAGAGGCTGAAGTAGTAGCTACTAATGCCTCAAGATGATATCCAAGTAGGTAAAAAGGAATGGGAAGGGAGATAGCACGTTAGTGAAAATTCACCAGTAAACACAATGCAAGATCTAACATGAATATCAAGTAACATTAATTACTTTAGAGTCTCTCTGTTTTCCTCGTGTGCATTTTAATTATTATTTCAGTACAATGTAATAACAAGGGCTGGTTTATAGGACGATAATAAGACTTGAGGCTATGACTGTGGCAGATTTTGAAAGCGGAGGGTGGTTGGGCTGAGCGAAAGATGCCCGTGGCTGTGCTGTGCGTTGCACGCCCAGGACCGGGGAGGGGAAGGATTTCCTCCCTGAGTCACCTTTGAAGAACTGACCCAGTAAACAGTCCTGCTCCGGGCTGTCTTCTGGTGAAATGCTAAACCGTGGTCTCAATCATGTGAGGCCAATAAAACCTCCGGTAGCCATTTTTCCCTGCACTGTGTCAGTAAAACTGAACCCCCCCCTAATTACCCCAGTCAACATTCAATTACCTCTCACTTACCTTAAAATTCCCCCTGTATTTGAAGGCTTAAGTGGACAGGATTCTTTTTGTCAGTTCTTTCCCACCATTGCTGCGTTTGTTTTGGCTAAACCTTGCATACAAGCTTCAAATCTTGTAAGGATTGAATCAACCCTTCAGCCTTGAGAGAATTATGAAGGATGGTGTTTCACTATTTTACAAAGGTTTACATCTCCCTCTTTGTGATGAGACTTTAAAAATTTGCTACATTTTGGATTTCCCAGACAATAAGTGGTGTATTTGGCCAGACTTCCCACCCACTTATCATCTGCGTGTGGTTCCCGTGAATCCATCTGCTCCCTCATTATCAGTTATTAAAAGGCATTCGTGACGCTGATTAGCCTTGAGATTACTGGTGGGTAGGCACTAACATTTTTATAAGCTGTGCTGAAATGTTCAAGCAAATGCGAAGTTAAGAAATGCCTCTTTGTAGAAACAGACATGCAAGTAAGGAAAATGAAGTTCATGGGAGTTCATTTCGCATTGTACTGATCCCTCCGAGCTCCTGTTAGAGCCCGGAGAAGTGGAAATACCCCATACTTTGGACGTCAGACCGGTAACGTTGGTTAGCAAGACTGAGAGACTACTCCCAGTTTCCCCAGTTTCAGCTCTGTTTTTTTGCAAGGCACTGTAGCCTCCGAGGGACCGGACAATCAGGTTTTGGTTATCTCTAGTGATTGGCTGATTGGTTAGTTCGGGTGAGGGCTGCTGAAAATATTTCTTCTTTCAGGGAGTTCTCCAGCCCAAAGGTGTTTTGTGAGAACCGTCAAGGCCTCTGACACACAGCCTCCCCTTCTTTCTCTGTGGGGTGAACGCCGTTCTGACACTTTTCACCTGTTGTTTTACGAGATACTGAGACCCCATGGAGAGGTGTATCAGCGTGAGGATGGAGGTGTGCAGAAGGGGAAGCCCCACTCTTCTGTGTGCGGAAAAGGCCTGCTCTCATCTGCCCCAGCCAAATAAAAATGTTACAGTTTAGGGGTTTTTGAGTGTTTAGCTAACTAACTGGATTTTTAAGTGCGTGTGCAGCTCGTGCATGCATGTTTGAACACTCCCATCCACTTAGATCAGTTAGAGTCACCAAACTTCTTCGTTTTTCAAAATAAAACTGCATTATGCCTGGACATGTTGAGCCAAATCTGTTCCTGGTGTTATTTCACTGACTTCCCGAAGAATTACACCAGAGATGAATTTGGTCTGGTATAGCAGCTTTTTTGCCTGGAGCAAGTCTTTATAGCAGAGTTGTATTTCTCTCAAAAATATAAAAGGAACACTGACAGATCTGCAGCTCTGGTGGTGTGAGCAGGTGCAGCTATATTAAATTATTTCTTATTAAATTGATTCAGCAACTTGAAGCTTGTAATTTTTGTTCTGCTATGGTTCTGTGACAGAGACCTTTTAAAACAGGCAAAGTATATATCTCTTCTTGTAATTCTGTTCTCTGGTATTATCATTTTAAAGATTTCTGTTTGTATGTAGCTCAGATTCTGATTGTGTTATTTATTTGGGTAAGATGTGAAAATTACAGCCTTTTCCAGTTAATCACATTGAGCTGTGTCATTGCCAGTGTAATTCCATTTACTCCACTGACATCCGGATGAATGTGAACAATAGTTTTTGCTTTTGTTTTTAGGTTTAAGTGATTTTAGGCTCTGGTGGTTGCTGTGGCATAAACTGGTGTACTTCCCTTCCAGGCAGTGGAAGTATGCTGATTTACCCCGGCCTGAGGATCTGGCTCATTATTTTATGGGTGCCAGTCTTCAGCCAGATAAAATGCGTCACGTGCTACAGAGTTCTCCCCAGTATTAAGACCCACTTTGACTATCTGTGAAAAATAACCTGATACTCTATGCCTTCATGTAATTGCACACAGAAAATGTAGTAAAGCATAACCTTATTGCTCCACCTCTGCTGATTTGAGATAGAATGATTATTCATTTTTTAGTTTCCCTGGGTGCTTCCCATGCTTGCATTATTGCTGTTACTGCTCAGCTGCTGTTAACTTAGTATCAGAAGTAGACAGAAATGTTTGCCTGAAGTTCCATGTCTTTAATGCGTTTTGGGGTTGTTTGTTTGTTTGTTTTGTAGGTTTATTTCCTTTAAGACTCCAGGCTTAGGCTTGGAGACCTCAGCCATCACCATTGAGCCCAGCAGCTGGAGCGGCAGCGAGAGTCCTGCCGAAGATATTGAAAGAATGAGTGATTCTGCAGATAAACCTATTGACAATGATGCAGAAGGTGTCTGGAGCCCTGACATTGAACAGAGCTTTCAGGAGGCTCTAGCTATCTATCCACCGTGTGGGAGGAGGAAAATCATCTTATCAGATGAAGGCAAAATGTATGGTAAGTGGCACACATTTAGCCTTTGGAAATAATTGTCCCAATGAGAACTGTAAAGCCCAGCTTGTTTTTACAGAAAATCCCTGGCTCCGATTTTGGTATTTTTGGAGTAAATCTTGAAGAAATCTTGTGAAGTTGAGGGAGTTCAGCTGGGCTGATGCGTTGCTTAGGACTGCCCAAACCAGTCCCTCCACCGCTGGCACTAGGAAGGGACATTGATGCAGAATTGTGTCTTTAATGAATGCTATGCCGTGGCTGAATGGGAATGTTTAAAAGAAGCTTTTAAATGTGTCACTCCTTGAGCATAAAAAAAAGTAAACATTTTTCTTTCTTTTTCGATAAATGGTGAAGAAAGGGAAATGGGAAATACGGCCTGTGTGATCGCGTGGCAGGATACGCGGTATTAAACTGCAAAGTGATAAAGTCCTTGTCGCGTTCGGAAGCCTCTCGATGAAAGAGGCAAGTTAGGGGTGCTTTTGTGCCTTTCTTTTTCTTTTTTTTTTTTCTTTCCCCTTCGCTCCATGCAAACTGCTATAAATCAGATGACGTGCTGACGGCATTCCATAAATATACGCTCCGCCGAGGGATACTGACATCTGCACGCACTCTCCGGGGCTCCTTAGCTTTCGTCCCGCTCGTCCAAGCTCCGTCGCTTTTCCTTTTCCATTTTGCAAGCTCCTCTTTGCGGGCGGCGGAGCCCTTGCTCCGGCTCCTCGTTCGGCGGGCGGCCGCTGTCCTTTGCGGCGGGGGGGCGAGGGCACTGAGGGGCGACCTCGCCCCTACCTGGCGGGCCCCCTGCGCAGCTGCCGTGTGACCCTGCCGGCCGCACGAAACGTCGTGTCTGGAAAAAGAGAGTTGTGATGAAGCATCTCAGCTGCCCTTGGCAGAAAGTTGCCGGGCCCCGGTTTCCTGCCTAGGTGTTTGCTTTTTATTTTCTCTCTCTCTCTCTCCCTCTCCCCCCCTCCCCTTCTCTCCCTGCACAGGGGAATATAACCTCTCTTGTCCTCTCCTTCCCCCTATTTTGATTGCATTGCGGTGTTGTTACTTTCCTTTGGAAAGGGGAGATGATTTGCCTAATTAGAAGGTTGTGCTCTTCCTAGGAGGACGTAAGCGTGTATATACAAACAAGCTTATTGTGTATTTATGCTCAAAAGCTCTACTTAGGCTTGAACAGCCTCATCAGCCAAAATAAGGGTGGCTGCATTTTTTTTTAAATCGGGATCCCTACAACCACAGTAATCACCCCTGAAATCTGATTTTTGGTGTTTTGAAGCATTCTTTGTGCCGTTGTATAAATTAAAGAAATTAACATATTTATCCATTCATTTCGACAATCACTGATTTAATTTAATGGTTCTCTAATCCTGAATGTTAACATTTGTTAAATTATATACGTAGAAAACTATTTATGCATACCTAACTGCTGATTAATACTGCTAGCTAGTAATACCGTAAGCATATATGCACATCTCGTATTTATGCTCACCCTAAATGAAATATTGTTTATTTTCAATCAAAAAAGGAGGTATGCATGTTCGATGCTGAAAACTTGACTTAAAACGTTGCCCTGATTGGGAAGAAAAGAAACCTGTTAGGAAGTGCAGGGTACTGTATGAGCAGAATTCACATCCTGACTTTGCAGTGGATGAACTCATGTTTTCATTCTTCAAGCTGAGTAACTGCTTTGTAGTGTTTGAGGATTTATTGAAACCATGCTAGGTTTCTGAGGACTTTCTAATAGAGTCTTATGGCCCTGAGAGCATAATTGTTCTCCAAGGATTTTGAAATCAAAACAGTGTAAGTGTTTTAGATTCTGTGTGGCATAATGAAAATAATTTAATGCCTTTTAGTGGCATACCAAGTTTATTTCACTTACAAGAGAGACATTGCAATATCTCTAAGCTTCCATAGTGTTGGGGGATATTGTAATGTGTCAGTAATTCATGAACCATATAACACAAAAGGTCAGGAGAGCACCATTTCATTTTCTGACTGGAATTACCTTTAGATATAGGCACTAGAACAAATATGATCTTTACGGAAGCAAATATAATGATCACTCTGTGTGGATTAAGTTAAGCAATTGTAGTTTTTTTATCTTTGGAGAGAGACTTTGAGAAGAGCAAAGATTTTGCTTGAAGAAATCTTTTAAGTCTCTGCCTTTGATTTAATGAGAGCTTTGCGACATTCATGTAAGCAGAAGCCAGAGTTTCTTCACTGTTCTTTGTGGTGGTCTAAAATTGTCCTTAAAAGTGGTGTTTCCAAGAGGGCTGTGTACAGGCTGCTGGGCGGTTGGCTCAGGAGGACCTGGAGGATTGCTTGAGCAGGACTGGGGGGCTTGAAATCCGGGGAGCGTGCGGGGTGTGTGGCCAAGGGGCGCCTGCCCGCGGTGCCAGCGGGGCAGCAGCAGCGTGGCTCGCACTGGCAGAGCTGCCCCAGCGGTACCGAGGGACATCTGTGACCTCTCCGGGCAGCCCGAATCGCTTCAGCTGTTCCTCTACAGCTGTGATCTTGGACGAAGGCGGGAAGGGAAAGGGAGGGCCTTTTCCTCTCCTCTTGCCTTCCCAAAAAAGTAACTTATGAGAACAAAGGAGTTTCAATCCTAACCCCACAGAGAAGGGTTGCTGGGCCCTGTGGCTGGGGAGGGGGAAGGGGATGTCTTGACTTTTTTGGCCCTGGGGCATCCTCAGGCTGTAAGGACAAAGTCGTGACCTGTGTGAGACCAGGAGCATTTCAGGCTGCCGCTGACCCTGCCACCAGTACAGGGTTACGGCTCCTTGAAGAAACCCTCAGAAAACAAAATAAAAACTTAATGAAACTCTTGGTTTTAAATTTATAGGAAATGATTGGGTAAGAAGCAAAGGCACTTGTTTTGGTTCAGAGGGGCAAATTCCAGGAACCATAGTTTGGAAATTCTTGAGAGAAATGGCGTGTGCTGTAAGGCCAAGAAACCCGTGATAAGGTTTCTGCAGGAAAGCACTATCCATCACTCCTTTTCCCCCTTCCTGTGTGCTCGTGTGCTTGTGTGCTTGTGATGGTCTTACAGTTTTGGTTTTGCTCCTAGCATGGCGTTGACTGGTGGTAAGTAAAATAACAAAAAAAAAAGGAGAGGAGGGAATAAATACAAAAGCTTGGAAGGAGGATAGAGGAACACATCTATAAATTGATGCTCACATTCTTTGTGGAGGCTGTTGAGTGTAGCCCATGGAGGAAAGGCTCAACTCTTAGAGTCATTTTCATTTGTCTTGCAAGGTATTGGTAAGAATTTTTTTCATCTGTACCATTTCAAAAGAAGTATTGATAAAACACAAATATCATCCACTAGCACAAAGTGGGACACCCTGTAATTTGCCTCCCCTCTCAGAGATCAATTCCGATGAATTTCTGTGTCCTTGTTTATCCAGCACATAGTGAAACTCTAACCCATTAGAGGGCATTGGCTGTCCTGTGTTTGTACTTTGTTCCAATTGTTGGTCTTTTACTGCTGACAGTTTAGTTACTTGTAGCAATTCCTGTGAACTCACTTATTGGCAGGATATTTGCCTGTGCTTGTCTTTGCTCCTGGGAGAGTGTTTTGGAAAAGATTACACGAATGAAAGCTGCTGTGAAATGCAGCCCTACTTTTATCCCTGGTGTAACACTGAAGTCACTGGAGTTACCACAGGAATGGATTTGGCCCTGTGTGCATGTTTTCATCTTTTTATTTTTTTTGAAATTTAACCATAGTGAGATGCAGCTTTAGTGCAGCTCTAGGGACAATGCCAAAGTAACATAAGCATAATAACGCCTGCAGATGTGTTAGCATCAGCATTGCTGACTTAGCCTCAGGGTAGCAAAGGTGGCTTTTGCCTTTAAGACAAGAAAATAGTTTGATCTTAATTTTTGAGACCTGTAAACAGCTCTTCAATTACGAATGAAATTAGTCATTGTGATTTGCATCGGAGGTATTCACCTCTGCAACAAAACTACTTAAGAGTGTATTAATGATGACTTAAAAAGGAAGTTTTGTAGCGTGTTTAGTTGTTTTATGGAGAAGCATGAGTACTAATTAACGTGAGAAGGTGCATAGCAGCCTTTCAAAACTGTTGTATATGTTTATTAGGTCATGCATAAAGTCTCTTGGCCTGCATTACCATGACAGTAAAGCAAAAATGATCCTTTCATAAAAATTTCTGCTCAGATGATAGAATTTTTGCACGATGAGTAATAATAGTCTTCATTTCCAAAGCACCTTGTATAAATTGCATATTAAAATTGAACTTTGAACTAGTGCATCGACAAAAGAAATTCTATTCTGTAGGCTTGTGTGATTCTGTAGCTAACTGTTATTATTAGATGTCTTTCTGGGTTTCTACCAGGAAACTGCGAGGTAACTAGCTTTATGAAGAATACAGTAACATGTTACAAATTATTTTTATTATCGCTTTTAATTTTAAAAGTTCCATGCAAGTTACTGCCTCCATAAAGACATCACTACCTTATAAAGTTTCCACAGTATTAAATATATTTGAATGCGAATAAGGTATTTGGAGTGATGAAATACCAGATGTGAAGTATCAGGTTGCATGTTTATTCGTCTGTTATTGTAATCATTGTACAAAGATACGCTGTTGTATTTTTTGTTTTTTTTATTTTTCCTTTTTGGTCTCACAGCAACATACCCAAAATGCACTGGAGATGGGACTCCTATTATGAAAGTTACTATTTGGGTTTCTTAGATTGTAAACAAATCTGTCTAGAAACATTCTTGCAATCCTGTGATTGTTCACTGTAATTACGTCATGGCCCAGCGCATGCATGAAGGCAGGCTGCAAGCCTGTGCTGAGCAATCAGTTAAAACTGAAGAAAACGAAGGTCCAAAGATACAGTGTCTGTTTGAGAAGTTACTACTTAAATTACTCAGATTATGAACAAATCTGCCTATAAACATTTTTGCAATCTGGTGATGTTCTTGCAACATCAGCATGCTGTGCTTGCAAGAAGGCAATCTGGTTTTGTGAGCT